CGACATCATATGATGACGTTTGGCCAGCTGCCCTAACTTTTAACGACATCATATGATGACGTTCGTCCAATAAAGGTTAATAGATCTAGGTGTTCAACTACTGATAATTATGTTATTTCATAAGGGACTTCAACTTAAAAGAACTCAGTGTATGAACAGGGCTTTGGAATGTAACCCATTTGTAAGAAGATCAAGTGTATACATTTTCCTGCTTTCCATCACACTCTTTTCATTTCAGGAGAAGATAATAAGCCATTTGTTTAACCATCTCGGTGATCTTTGTAAAGGAGTCCCACCTAATAGTTTGAAGCCTTTTATTGAAAAATCATTAAATCTGGCTTTAGAAGTCTCACTAGCATATGAAGGTAAGCATATTTCAGTTGTAAAAGTTAGTTTATGGTTTTGATAGCTGTAATATTTATGGATACAACATTGGTTGAATTACAGGAGATGAAGAGAAAGCCCTGCTGAAAGATCTGCTGTTTCAAATAAAGGCAACGTTGAAGAGGGATGATATCCATGATGCAAATCGAACGATGTTGTCACTTCTAGTTGAGGGGTTCCAGGAGAAATTAGATGCCAATAGTAAAGTGAGAATATTATATTGAACTTAACATTTTCAGCAAAGAGCTGTTCTGTCTTTTGTCTTAACATATTGAACATGTATGTAGTAAGTAGATTCTTAAGGGTTCTGTCAGTGGTGTATAACACCCAGGACTACTGTGTTTTTGGACTTCATCCAGTATCTGGTATTCTAGAAACTGGAGAACCCACATTTCAGAAAGTTGAGGTTAGCTGTAAGGGACCCAACAGAGTAGGTTTCTCCTCCCTCACCTGAGGACAAACAGATCCAGTTTCTGAAACTTTTGTTCTCTCGTTTTTAAAATAATGAATGATGGACAAGTCCAAAAAACCAGTAATTCAGGGTGTAGTTAGTAGTTATTTCTCCTATCTGGCTGTTTATGCCACTTTTGGGATGACTGTTATAGCACTTGATTCATGCAAATAACTTTTTGTGAGAGATTATCAGATCATCAGATGTGAAGTTAATTTATATAGGATGGCTATAAAATAGCCGGACTGATGCTCTAGTCTGTTAGTCAACTAACTGAACACTGGAAATGTTATCACCTTCAAAGTGGTCCCCTACACTGCATCATGCAAATTTTCCACCATTGGAAGCAATGCTACAGGTCCGTTTCTGTAAGCTTCTTCATTACTTCCATAACTTTTGCCTTCACTGCATCTACAGAATCAAAACAGGTTCCTTTTACTGCAGACTTGATCTCTGGAAATAAAGCAGTCACACGGGGCTAGGTCAATTGAATATGTTGGATGTTCCAACACAAGGATCTTGTGCTTCAACAGAAACGTCTTGACAGATGTGTGTCATGTGCTCGTGCAATGTCAAGGTGAAGAATTCATGAACCCTTCTTCCACATTTGAGGTCTTTTTTTTCCTCACCTGGTCATGAAGGGTAGTCAAAACCTCCTTGTATTAGACATGGTTAACAGTCTGACATTTCAGGCACCCAGTCAGTGTGAACAGTCCCTTTGATATTCAAAAAAGGGATCATCAGTGCTTTGAAATTTGACTTGCTCTTCTTTGCTTCCCCCCCCCCCCCCCAGACCTGGGACTCTTCTATTGCATGTATTGGTACTTAGGAAAAAACACGATTCATTGCAAGTTATTGCATTTCCTATAAAGTTTGGATCATTGTCAGTGTTTTGAAGGATGTCAGTACAAATGTTCATTCGAGTTTCCTTCTGCTCAGGAGTGAGGATTCTTGACACCATCTTCAAGCAGATGTTTTTCATGTTAAAATGTTAATGTAAAATCTGTTGAACACTTTCTTTATCAATGTTAGCCAGTTCAGTGACTGATCAAATGCTCATTTTCAACGACTTTTTCAAAGTTAGCATCTGTTTTTGATGTGCAAAGCCAACCAGGAAAGTTTTGGAAGGAATTTAACATTGACACATTGCTCTGCTTTAACAGTTAACATAATTCCAGCAGAGCCCAGATACACGGTCCACTTCCACTTCAAGCAGAGGCTGCTACCACGTTGTTGGCCGTATGGCCTTGGGAGTGGTAGGGTTGATGGAGGGGAGAGAACAGGCTAATATACCACCCCACTCAAATAAAAAAAATCAGTCCTGTATTTTATAGCCATTCCTCATACACCCCTAAACTCCTATTCCTAAAAGTGACTCTTCAATTCATAAAGGGAAAAGAATGCTGTTAAGCATGGATCAGCTTTGTCATTGAAACTGACCCTCTTAAAACCATCATCAACTGGGCATGCATCTTGCTTCTGGAGCATTTCAGACAGGTTGTAAGACCAGTGGAGGGCTCTTGTGAATACGGTAATGAACCTGGAGGTTCCATAAAATGCTGGGAAATTCTTGAGTAGCTGCAGAATTGGCAGCTTCTCCAGAAGGGCTCAGCTCCATGAGTGAGTAAGTAAGTAAGTAAGTAAGTAAGCTGCTAGCTTTCCTTTCAGTATTTTGATGCGTATGTTGACTGTGTAACTGAGCTAACATCAAAGTATTTGGAACGCATGACGTCTCCTTCATCGTTTTGGGAGGTGACTCCTGATAAACTGAGACGAGCTCTCAGGATTCGAAGTGCTGTAGCATGTAAAGCTGATACCGAAGTTCCATTAGTATGGCTGAATGACTGTATTGATGCAGCTTTGGACTTAGTAGGGTAAGTAAGAAAACCCTCTAGCTTTAGCTTTGCAAGCTATTACAGTATTTTGGAGTCTGAAGTTTCAAGAGTACAGTTTCTATGTGTTCTTTGCTCTCAGTAAAGGTATGAGTAGAGTTTATCCTATCCGCAGTTAAGCATTAAACCATGAAAATGAATGAGAGCAGAAGAACAGAGCCCCAGGCATTCTTAACCTTAGCACTAAATGAAGGTAAATGGTCAGTTTAACATCCCAGCCACTTTACACCTTGGAAAGCCCATGTTACCCATTTCATTTGAGGCTGGGTGACCCCACATCTAGTCTGAACATGGTTGTGAAGAAAAAATCTTTCTGCACCTGCTAGGTGCTGAACCCCAGTCATGTAGCCTGTAGCCTAGTCAGTGCAATGGCAGAGCTGCCCAAGTAAATGGTATATAAAATAAATGCCTCCTGTCTAATGGGTTCTGGGAGATTTTTTCCCAGGGATAAAGCAGCTGGAGTGTGAAACTGACCATTCACTCATCTAATCTGAAGGTTAAGAATAATAGAGATAAAACACCACTCTTCCATATGTCTTCATGGCATAGTGATTAATTAACACTTTGGGGACCGCAGACCCTTTAAAAGGTTTTTCGCCTTTAAACATGGCGGACTGTTCGCGTGTTAACAGGTTTTTAAAACATGATAAGTTGCAACACACTATACATCTCTCTGGCTCCACCTAGCTAGCAGGTAGCTGCTTGCAGCTGCGTTATAAGACTCTGGAATGTCTGCTGACCAATCAGTTACTAGACCTTATTGTAACTCTGTGCCCCTGCAAAGGAAAATAAATGCCTTTATTTCTTCAAGCTTTACGTAGCAAGCTGTCAGTCAGTAGTTCAATATGGATCAAAGACCAAAGCGGTTGACACCCAAGCAATTTCTTGGACAACAAGAAATATCTGACTTCTTCTCCGATGAGCTGTCTGACGTCCCTTGTGAGTCTGCTTGTGATAGCGACTCACAATCTGATAGTGAGCGTGCCAGGGGCGAACAGAAAATTGTCACCACAGACAGTGAAAGTGAAAGTGACCGTAGCTCCGATGAATGTGCGGGTAGCAACATTGCAGGGACAGCTACATGGGGAAAAGTAGACAAGATGCCTGCTTTGGGACAGTTTACTGGAAATCCAGGGGTGAAGCAAATTCCATCGTACTCTACGCAAGTGTCTGAAGTAGCGGAACTGTTTTTTGGAGATAGTTTCTTTGACATGCTATGTCAGGAAACTAACAGAGACTATCTCCAACACCTTGAACATGATGACAGAAGTTATAAGGTGTTGAAGTGGGTGGATGTCACTTCAGCAGAAATGAGAAAATTTTTTGCAATTATCTTTCTAATGGGCCATACAAGGAAGGATAATCTGAAAGAGTATTGGTCAACAGATCCATTTTTAGAAATTCCAATTTTCGCCAAACTAATGAGCCGTAAGAGATTTGAGCAAATTTTGTGGTGTTTGCATTTCAGTAATAATGAACTGCAACCACAATCAACAAGCAGACGTTTCAAAATTCAGCCCTTATTGAACTTTTTCGTTCAGAAATTTTAGACAGTTTATAAGCCAAACCAACAACTGTCTTTGGACGAATCTGTGATTCCTTGGAGGGGAAGGCTTCGTATGCGAACATATAATCCTGGGAAACTTACAAAGTATGGCCTGCTTGTTCATATAGTTAAAGCACTTCAGGCTATATTGGAAATTTAGAAATTTGTTCTGGTGAAGGAAAGAAATTACAAGAAACTATTCTTTCCGTTTTGGAACCCTATCTTGATCAAAATTACCATGTCTATCAAGACAATTATTATAACAGTGTGGCAACTGCAGAACACCTTTTTTCGAGAAAAGTACATGTTTTTGGAACAATTAGGGTGAACAGAGGCCTTCCTCCAGATCTGAAAGAGGAATGTAAATCCCTGAAACGTGGTGAAACCACATTCAGGAGGAAGGGGGATATTCTTCTTCAGTCCTGGAGGGATACTTGTGTTGTGAATGTGATTTCCACAATTCACAATTCGAGCATGGTTGATGTTCAAAGGAGGCATGGACAGGTAAAGAAGCCTGTTTGTATTTCCGAGTATAATATGTTCATGAAGGGAGTTGATAGAGCCGATCAGTACTTGGCCTATTATTCTCCTCCTCGGAAAACAGTAAAGTGGACAAAGAAAGTTGCCTTGTGGCTTATAAATTGTGCCATTTTCAATTCATTTTTGGTTTTCAAAAATCTAAACCCTCATTCAAAATTGAAATACAAGGCATTTTTGCTGAATGTGGCAAAAGCCTGAGCTACAGACCACACGGTGGCGGCAGAGACAGTCTTAGTACGACTGGGGCTGTCTACTCCCACCCCATGCAGGCATCACTTTGACCCCCCTGAGCGACTCTCGGGTGATATGCGGAAACATACCCTCGCGAAAATTGTGAAGAGTGAACATTTCAAGGGGAAGCAGCCTTCTAGGCAATGCCGTGTTTGCACAATTCACAAGAAAAGGAGTAGGACTGCCTACATTTGCAAGTTTTGTGTAATGCCACTTCACAGAGGGGAATGTTTCGAGAAATATCACCCTCAAGCACTTCTAGAAGCATTGATAAGGGTTCTAAAAAAATTTTAGTTCATAAAATTAATTAGGAGATTTTATATTAAATTTTAAAGTGAACAGTGCACAAGTTAGGGTAGTAGGTATAAAAATGGTGGTCCGCAGGGTGATTTAAATATTTAAATTGCCGGTCCGCAAAGTGTTAAGCAGAGGTAACTTTTATCAGTCGAGTATAACACATTATTCTTATTATTCAAGTACACTGTCAATAATGCAACAGTGGTTTTTAATCTAAAAGACACCCAAAACTTCAGCATTTGATGTATAAAGACAACATGATAAAAATCATACTAATACAGATTATACATTACAGTATGGTGGCTGCAAAAGAATACAATGACAGTATTCTAGATATGGGATACAACAACAAAACAATGTTGTGCATGGGAGCAAGAAAGACAAGTGCATAGTGCACTGGTCTCTCCACAAACTAAAAGTTGACTGATGGCCCATGTGCGGCCGAAACACGTTGCAAAATTGGGGGGCGTGTGGGCGGAAACAACAACAAAAACAAGACATTTTGTTAGTCACTTTTAGTGTATAAAATATACTTCTAATGTCTTAATGACATTTTATGAAAGTATTAAAGTTACACGTTTAATGAAAAATATATTTTGGGTGTCTTTTAGATTAAAAATCACTGTTATATTATTGACGGTGTACTTGAATAATAAGAATAATACCTCAGTGTAACAGGATGCCAAAATTTAATAAGTATAACCCATATTTTATTTGAAGCTAAAATTGAATACTTCAAAAAAGGCTTATTATATTATATTGTATTGTATAACAACAAATGAAAAGCTTTTCATAGCATAGCACAGTAAAACCTGTCTTAAACGGAATCTCAAGGGACCAGAAAAAATTTCCACTGAAGCCAGGTTTCCGTTTAATCAAGGTATATTACAAGGTGTGGCAATAAAGAACCCGGATTACTTTTATGACTCATTTTCGGCCACGTCATTGACGAAGAGGAGGGTAGGGCATTGACCCTTGGACTTCCCTCTACCGTCACACAAAGTTTCATTCACGTGCATCGGTTAGTCTGGCCGCGACCATTGTTAGAAGCGGATCGTGTTTCTGAGCTCCGTCGGAATAATGCTGAGTGCTAATGCAGAACAACGTGCTAACATCAAATTCCTCACAAAACTTGGAAAATCTGCCACTGAAACTTACAATTTGTTGACAGAAGTATATGGTGATCAGTGTCTATCTCGCACGCAAGTTTTCGAGTGGTTTAAGAAGTTTATGGAGGGTAGGAAAAACGTCGGGAACGATCCAAAATCGGGCCGTCCTCCCACTGCGAAAACTCCAGAGAATGTGGAGAAGGTCGCTAGAATTGTTCGAAGAGATCGTCGACTGAGCATTCGAGCAATTTCTGAACTTANAAAAATCAAGTCTGCGCTGAAAGGGACCAGGTTCGAGTCCGTGGATGCAGTGAAAGCAAAAGCGACGCAACTCTTGAAGAGCATAACACAAGATGACCTGCAGCACTGCTTCCAACAGTGGAAAATTCGCATGGAGCGGTGTAGGGATCGGGGAGGGGACTACATTGAAGGGGATAACATTTCGACTGTCTGATTTTTTTTTAATAAAGGGTTAGAGCATGAATCCGGTTTCTTTATTGCCACACCTTGTATAATAACTAAACCAGGACATAAACGTATTTGAGACAAAACAAAACAACATGCTCGTTAATGTATTCACACTATAATCATTGAACACATACAAACATTACACCGAACAGGAAAAAATTGCAGTACTCACTTTTTATAATTTTACCAGAACTCCGGCAGAGTCTTTTGCACACAGTTTACTCTCTTGGCTTCATGACTTTCCAGATACACTTTAGCTTGAGAAATTAGTGCAAGCATGTCTGAATCACTTGATTCACCACAAAGTTCATTGAAAGCTATCCGATGTCTCTTGCAAAAACTCTTCAACCATCTGTTAGATGCTTTGAATTCAGTCTTCCCCAGTTTTTCAGCGACTTTTTTAGCATATTCCTGTACCATAGGACCCGACAACCGGTAATTTTTCGCCCTCACACTGACAAACCACTCCCACACTATTTCATTAACGTCTTCGTTTGCAGTTTTCTTAAGTTCTCTTTTTATTTTTCCATTAGACAAGTTTCCCACCGCTTCAAAATTTCCGTTTTCTTCTTTAGAATCTCATACACTTGAGTTTTACTGACGTTAAACATCTTCATGATCTGCTTAACAGACAATTTATCTCGCTCACTCACATGAATCACTTTTAATCTTGTGTTAAGGTGAAGCACAAATCTTGTCTTTGTAGCCATGATGACAACTGCTAGACTAAAGTAAAACTGTAGGCCTAGAGCCCTTACTGAATACAGTTTCCAGAAGGGAAAAACAATTCTGCTGAATCTCAGTGCAGGTAGTGCAGTACCGTTAGAAGCTTATTTTAAAGAGTTAGGGAAAACAAAATTCAGTAGAATGTATAGGATGCCAAAAATTATTCTAAATGATGCATTCCGGAAGACTGGAAATTTTCTGTATAAAGGCTTATTTTGATTTCCGTTGTCCGCGTTAGGCAGTTACCATTTAATCCAGGTTATTTAACATCTTTTCAGCCCCAAAGTCAAGGGACCTGAAAATATTTCCATTTAAGACAGATTTCCGTTTAATAAATGGTCCATTTAAGGCAGGTTTACTATATAAAGATATTAAAATCTTATTTTTTACATGCTGTATATTTAATGAAATACACTCAACTCTCGATTATCCGGGATAATGGTGGGGATGGAAATCACGATTAATCAAAAACCCACTTAAGACAAATTTTATTAAAAGTAGTACTGTAATACTGTATCTTCATAATACTATAGGCCAGCGGTTCTCAAACTGTGGGGCGCGACCCCCAGGGGGGGGCACAGCATACTTTCCTACAGATAAAAATTAAAACTGCACTAAATCAATTAGAAAAGTAACAAAAAAAATAGAAATACATATAAAAACTTTTGATGAGTACAGGCTTTAATTATCATGAATTTCAAAATGACAAATAATTATTCTCTTTATTGGAAATTATAAAATGCGTATGCCAGAGACAGTGTTGATAGTTCGGCAGCAGCAGAAGCATCCTCTTCCAGGCAGTACTGCACATGAGCAGCTGAAAACAGTGACTTATGTCATCTCATTGGCTCCTGTTGGGCAGGGAGCAGGCAGTTTGTCGCCATACTCAGTGGTGATCGACAGGTATGCCTGTTTGATGATGTGTTCTTGTGCATTCAACGTTTCAGTGCAGTTGTGCTGATTTGTTTACCTCTTGAAGTTGACTTGATTATGAACAACTGATCATGAAGTGTTTCCTGATTAGTGATAGAAATGAAGACACCAGTGATCCGTGAACTAGTGGTGGGAAAGAAGCTACTCAGAGTGTGAAAACGAGAAGGTACAATGAAAACTATTTATCACTAGGCTTTATGAAAACTGTGATCAATGATGAATGTCCGCAATGTGTAATCTATCTGAGTATTTTAGCTGCAGATAGTATGAAACCTAATAAATTAAAGAGACATATTGAAACCAATCATCCAAAGTTTACAAATAAACCAAAAGGTTTCTTTGTTAGAAAGCTTAGTGGTTTAAAGTCCACCCAACAGAAATTTGCTAAAACAACAAATGTGACTTCTAAGGCCCTTTTAGCCTCTTACCAGGCTTCTCATAGAATTGCTAAATGCAAGAAACCACACACAATTGCAGAAACACTGATTTTACCAGCAGCGATTGACACAGTATCAACAATGTTGGGTGACTCTTCTGCTCAACAATTGAAAAATATCCCCCTCTTTAATGACACAGTTTGTAGAAGAATTTTGGACATTTCTGATGATTTATGTCAGCATTTAATTGAGAAGTTGCATAAGAAGTGCTTTGTACTTTCAAGTGGACGAAGCAACTGATATTCATAAAGATGCTCATTTGATTGTGTACGTTCATTGGTGAGTGTAATATGCGAGAGGAATTGTTTTTCTGTGAGCCTATCTTGAAAACAGCAACAGCTCAAAGCCTTTTCGACATGATTAATGCTTTCTTTAATGAAAATGGGATATCATGGGATAAGTGCACTGGCATATGCACAGATGGAGCTCGTTCAATGTCTGGAGTCAGTGCTGGATTACAAGCAAAAGTTAAAGCTGTTGCTCCTGAAGCAGTATGGGCTCACTGTATGATACATCAGGAGGCTCTGGCAGCTAAAGAACTCAGCCCACCCCTTCATGAAGCGCTACAGAGAGTTGTAAGAACTGTCAATGTTATCAAGACAAATCCTCTGAAGTCTAGACTTTTTAAAATGCTGTGTGAGGAAATTGGTGCTGAACACACTGCTCTGCTGTTTTTACTGATGCTCAATGGCATTCAAGAGGCAAGGTATTAAAGAGAATGTTTGAGCTGAGGCATGAGGTGTTCTGTTTTTTAAATGGGGAAAATCACTCACTGGCAGACAGTTTCAGCAACAAGGATGTTATTGAAAATGGCTTGCCTCACAGATATATTTGAGAAACTAAATATCCTCAACACTTCACTTCAAGGGAATGAGTCAACTGTACTTTCTTGGCATGACAAAATGAAGGCATTCATGAGAAAATTAGAGCTCTGGAGAAACAGTATGGAAAGTGACATGGTAGACATGTTCTTTACTCTGGTGTCAATTATACAAGACACTGATAATCCAGTGCTTCCAATGGACATAAAAAGCGGCCTACTTCATCATCTCATAATGTTGAAAGTTCATTTCGAAAAATACTTTTGCAATGATTTTGATGAATTTAATTGGATTACAAATCCATTTGAAAATGCTCCTGGGCCATCATCTCTGAATGTAAATGAGCAAGAACAACTCATCGATCTCACTAGTGATACTTCATTAAAAAGTAAATTTAAGGAATTGTCTTTGCTGGAGTTCTGGATGCATATTGGCAAGGAATTCCCCACTTTGAGCCAAACGGCATTGAAGATCCTGATTCCTTTCGCAACAACTTACTTATGCGAGACAGGCTTTTCTGCTTTGGCAGCTATAAAGTCAAAGTATCGTTCAAGGCTGAATACTGCTAAAGAAATTAGAGTGACCATTTCTGATATTACACCACGTTTTGATAAACTTTGTTCTCAGAAGTTAGAGTGGCCATTTCTGATATTACACCACGTTTTGATAAACTTTGTTCTCAAAAGCAAGCCCCTCCATCACACTGCACTTTGACATTTAAATGTTTAATTTTCTTTGCAGAAAAAAAGTTATATGCTTGTTAGTTAAATATCGTTTTATTTCAATACATATTTTGGTTAATTGCAAGTGTTAAAACTAATTTTTATTGTAGGCCTAACATTGTGATACTTCAATTTTGAGTAAAAAAAACTGCTAAATAGTATGTAGAAGAACACAAAAGAAACTGAATGAAACATCAAACATACCATGACTTCTATTTTGATAAAAAAACAGGCCGGGGGCCTGAGAGTATTTTCTCTTGTCAGGGGGGGCTCAGAGGTAAAAAGTTTGAGAACCACTGCTATAGGCCTACCTAGTCCTAGTTTCGGAGGACTTGTTCCCTGAATTTTTTCACCCTTAAAAATTCCACTACCTCTGCTGGGTTTGAACCCGCGTACCTTGAGTCATGGAGACTTGAGACTATGGAGGCCGCTTACAAAGAGAATAACTGGGGTGGTATATCTGTCCTTGAAACTTTCCACAAATCCTTGCATTCTTTCACCCCTACCCTAGAACATTATGGTAGCATAACAGGACCAAAAATGCAGAGCTCGATTCACACTAGTGCGAAAATAGTGTTACAACTCACCATGTGAAACAAAAGTAAATGAATATTAAACAGCCTATAAGCTTCAAAAAAGCCCTTGTTAATCCTCCCCCCGATAATCGAGAATTGAGTGTATAAGGAAAATTTATTCATGACTACAGGGCTGTATAAACTGGGTGGCATAAATAAGCTTTGCAATACATGAATATCAAGACCAGTATGGTATACATAGGCTACATTTTGAAAATATATATGTGTAATCCATACCAGAGTCATCTTTTCCAGTCTTATTAATTTTATGAGTCAGTTTCTCGAAATCCAGTTCTTTTTATGGAAATGTATTTTCTCATGGTGACCTACATTAAGAACTTATCTAAGATTAAGTGATTTTAAATTCTCATTCTGCAGGGAACAAACTAGTGTATTGCAGAACATTGCATCTGTAATGACTTGTGTTCAACAGCATGAAACAAATAGTCGCTGGTTAATGGAGCTCTTAGGACAAATTGAGAATGCAGTCAAGAAGAAAACAGAGTCAGACAATCAGCAGGTGAGCACAGCAACAGTCATGCCAAATCAGCATATGCCACCTGCTAATTTTAAATCTCACATATTAAAAACTAGAATTAACACACATGCATGCACACCCAAAAAGTTATATAGTAGAGCAGTTCAGTGCAGATCAAAGGTAACATTAATGTTTAATTCTACTTTTCTGTTATGAGTTACTTGTTTTTTCTTTCCTGCTTTGAGTTACATATTTTTTCTATCATTACTGGCATGTGCTTTCCTTATTTAGTTCTTCAGTTTATACGTGCATCCTCTGACCTTTGATTTTAGATTAAAAGAATTAAAATACAGGAATGCTGAAATTACTAAGGTCATGACTACATGACCTATCCCAGGTAAGATTCTGATACACAGGCGCCTCATGCTATAGTTGTCCCCCCCCCCTCCCCGGCACTACAGCCCCAGTGGGCCTAGGCCTACCTCCATGAACGTCTCCATTCACATAGTTGCTTCTACCGGCATGAAAACCAGGCCAACATGTAGCATTTGCACAGTCGTACCACAAAATAGAATTTTAACTTTCATGTCTTAATCTTTAGTTTCAATTTTAAATTTTTATTATCTAAGGATTTTCAGTTTAAAAATTTTGACCAAAATTAACCTTTAAGAACCTAGTGACACCGTATGGAGACCTTTAAAGTGCAGCCGAGTACCCGTGCAACACCGTATGGGTATGCGGAGTCCACACTTGTGCACAGTGTTTTCAAATCTAATTTTAAGATAAAATTCTTGTTCTGCTGACCTTATTTTTGGGCACAGCTTTATAAGTAGATAGTCTTCCCTCCTGCATCATCTAACTGAATGTTGCCTTTGTGTGGTTCTGTGGGAAACATCCAGAAATGCAGAGTCCAACATCGCACTTCATGCACTTTGTCCGGATGTATCTCTGTTTCCCACGTGAAGAGCACACACGACACCTCAGTCTCTTATTAGAAGAAGTAGGCCAGTGATGTCGAGTGGCCTCCTCTAATCGAGATATCGCTGATGACACAGCAGGAGGTCGACCCATGAACCGTCGAGGGCAAGGTGGACCCCTTGCAGCATGTTTCAGCATGTTGTGCACAAGGGCGAGACAGAATTCTCTGTGTGACAATGTGACAGTTTCGCACAACAGGATGAAACTGTTCAGAATCATCAGATCTAGGAGATGGAAAAATAGTTTATTTGTCCATTTCCGTGTCTGACTGATGCTATAACTGTTTGCCATTCTGTCCACTTTTTGAACATAATCCATGTGCTTGTTGTAGTCAACAACAATTGCTGGCTTGATGGCATTTTCATGCTCATCACAGAAACTGCCTTCTGCTGGAGGACAGTGCATGTTTGTCAGTATGTAAACGTCACATTTGTCCTTCCAAACTAGTGCTGTCAAGTTCGTCTCACCCTAACATGAATGTCACCTATTAATAATATTATATTTTAGCGTCCTGTTGCACTGATTTATGTCCATGATTTATTCTGAGTAAGGTAAGGTGAATAAATATATGCACTGTAAGATGGTCAGAATAAATCATGGACATGAATGTCACCTTTTTTCAGTCGAAATTGTCTTCGTCGAAAATCGTCAGGCAAGCCCTTCCAATTAGGTCTGACTGTCCCACAGCACGTTGTGTCCTTTGTCATCAGTTTGTCAAACAAGTCTGGTGACGAAAAAAATTGTTCACATACAGTTTGTGACCTACGCCCTCAATACGTCTGCATAGGTCCCTAACTGTAGTATGTGTCGCTGTCACGTCTTGGTTGGCACGTGTCCTGTCTTTTCCTAGGTAAACATTCATGTCATAAGTATACCCAGCAGCGTCACAAATTTTGAAGATTTTGATTCTGACATGTTTGTGTTTCTTAGGAATGTACTGCCTAAAAACCACCCTCCCTTTGAATTTAACAATTATCTCGCCTATGGCCAAATGTTCAGAAGGGTTATAATATTTTTCATATGCGGCATTGAGATGTCAAAGATGGTCCAAATTTTCCATAGGCGGTCATAACTGTCGGCATTCCTGTCAGTTTCTGTATTGTTGTCTGCAGAACGAAGCATGTGTAGAAAACGGTCACGTTTCATTATGTTAGAGTAGAAAGGTGTGGCAAATTGTTCTGCAGTTGAGCAGTAGTCCTTTAGTCTGTCTCTAATGTCATGTCCTATTTGAATGATTATTCCTAGAAACAGAAACATTTTGGAATTGGCCACGTCAGGCCGCGGAGAAGGTCCGTCTTGAAGTCTGTCTATGTACTGGTGGTAGTACCTGTTCGTCTCTTCCACCAGCAGATGGATAATCCCTGCGAAGTAGAGCATGAAAACGCAGAAAGGGGTGGAATCCTTATTTATGTGTGGAGCTTCATTGATATTTAACCCCATAGTCCCACCGGAATAATTATTCACACCCCTCCTGCCATGCTGGTCTGGTGGTCCCCAGGTTGCTGATGAAGATGATGGGTCTTCGTCAACTTCAGTTTCTGAGCCCCTTGCTTCCTCGCCACTCTCAGAGTCATTTGTACTGCGGTCTGAATCGGTGTCATTTATCAGCTGCCTCTCAATTTCAGCTGCTTCCATGCGAAATGTTGAATGTGGATAGTTAAAATTGCGATGTTTTATACACAACACAGTGCACTAGGCTTGAACGTTCTGGCAGTGCAGGGCTATTCCTAGAACAGTACCTCTGTGTGGCTAGTCCAAGATATACACAGTCAAGAGTTTCTGAAGGACAAAATACGATAAGACTTCGCCCACTCTCATGCATACAGAAAGGTTCTGACGTGACTGGTGATTGTGCAATACAAACATGAACTTCCACTCCTTTTGCCAGATAAGACATAGTAAGACAGGATGTCAGCAGCATGCATTTATACTGAAGAAACTGTATGCAAATTTGTGGACAGACGCTCGAAATTGGGAAAAGATTTCTTTTTGGAATCAGTGTAACAATTTTTACAGATTTTAAAATCTGTAAATTAGAATGCCTGATTCTATATCCTTTCTAGATAAATGCAGCGTTTATTTCTTTCATTTATCACAAAAATTGTAGAAATCACAGCATTTTCAGTAACATGCTTACAATTTTTAATACTCTACAGTGGCGGGTATTTAAATTAACTCCGGCTTGCTGCCATTACCAGAATTTAAATGGCCTGTCTCTTAAAGGTTAATACATGTATTTATGCATTTCAATAATTTCAAGACACAATAAGGATCCTTATTTGAAGAATTAGATGTTAATTAATTGCAATTCATCAGCTCATACTGGAGCTTTGTATGCCTGATGATGACCCAGTATAAGGGTTGAAACATGTTGCATCTGTAAAAACATAATAAAGACAAATGTTGATATAGTAGTGTCTTATTTGTTTTTAAATACAGAATGTTGTGTAGACATCGTACGTCATACTTTTGTACATAGGTTGGATAAATGTAGCGGCAACACCACTATAGTTCTAAAATGACATTACCTGAGGTAAACAGACTTACATTCCTTCAACATAATCACCCCCCATGTGTTCCACCTTCTGCCAAATTTGTGGAAGGCATCGTACACCATCAGCGCATCCACTTCTTTTGATGTCCAGCAGTGACTGCCCTACAGCACACATAATCTCCTCTCTTGCATTGTAACATGGCCCTCACAGTGGTTCTTTCATTTTGGCAAAGAGATCATAATCGCATGGACTCATATCATGTGAGTATGGCGGATGTTGCAGTATCACTTCATCAATGTCATACAAGGTGTGGCAATAAAGAACCCGGATTACTTTTATGACTCATTTCCGGCCACGTCATTGACGAAGAGGAGGGTAGGGCATTGACCCTTGGACTTCCCTCTACCGTCACACAAAGTTTCATTCACGTGCATCGGTTAGTCTGGCCGCGACCATTGTTAGAAGCGGATCGTGTTTCTGAGCTCCGTCGGAATAATGCTGAGTGCTAATGCAGAACAACGTGCTAACATCAAATTCCTCACAAAACTTGGAAAATCTGCCACTGAAACTTACAATTTGTTGACAGAAGTATATGGTGATCAGTGTCTATCTCGCACGCAAGTTTTCGAGTGGTTTAAGAAGTTTATGGAGGGTAGGAAAAACGTCG